GTGTATGTAATGGTCAGGTGTCAATTCCTAGAAGGAGGCACCACAGTCCCCTTTTAGGCAAATATGGTCGAAGAGCCAGGAGTGTGGTGGGTGAGGAGCCTAAACCAGGTTCCCACCACAGCCTACAAGCACGTCTGGCCATAAACCAAGCACGAGGGAACCTCACACTGATGCTGGCAGCTCCACAGCTCTCCAGTGGATAAAGAAAAGTTAATTGCCCAGTGCTCTCTGCACATTATTTCACTTCTAAGGAACACTCATATTCTTAATTAAAAGTTCATCAGAAAACTGCTTACCCAAGACCCAATCATCTATTATTTTCTACTAGGAAATCCCGCAGGAAGCAGGATTTACCATATTTCTGTCCTTGTGAATTTCTATCAAGCTTTGTAACTCTCAGGGCTGGCAAGCTCTGTAGCTAGAGCAGAGAAATCCCTTGGGTGACATCTACAAACTTGTGCAGACATACTCACATCCTGAGCTGAGTTCTGCCTCCTCTCTCCTGCCACGTAAGCCGACTCCTCCTCGGGAGTAGCCCCAAGGCGATACCCTCCCCCTGCAAAAGGCTGGAAGAGAGAGGCAGGCAAAGTGTTACAGAACCACACAAACCCAAGAGAGCTGCTCCCCTTCCCCACCACCCCTGTGGATGAACAGGGCCTTCGTGGCATCAGCCCTGCAGGCACAGTGACAGCTTCAGCAAGCTCATAAATACGGCACAAGGAGAGCGGCTTTTCTTGCCACTGCGACACACCAAATGGAGCTGCACTGAGAGAGGAGCCCAGACCTGGCTGTCAAGGTAATTCCAGGATTCCTCAGTGCCAAACAGCTGGCACGGTGGAGCCTTAACTGAAACGGGGAACAGAAGGAAGAACCTGGCCCTCCTCACCTTCGGTTTGCTCGTCTCGCCACCGCCCTTGGTCGTCCGATCGACGGCCACCGCGCCGTGCTCCTTGGCTCCCTTGAACAGATCCTCCACCAGCTCGTTGGGACTCTTCTTCCTCGGAGGGCCCACGATCTGCTGGCCACTCCTCTCCGAGCCACCGGCATAGAACCTAACGGAAAGCACCCGGCTCCTGGTCAGACTGGACCCGCTGCCCCTCCAGGACCCAGCGCTCTGGCACCAGGATTCACTTGGTTCGTGCAGCTCAGTGAAACACCTTGGAATCACAAATACTGGATACCCCCAGTGTGTCTCCCACTGCAGCCACGTGCAAGCTCCTGTACTGCAGAGACCTCCTTTTCACATCAATTACTGTAAAATCACCTGTGGATCAATAGCAATAAAGTGGCCACGAGTCTCAGACCTGGCAAGGGGAACAGCCCAGAGGGACAAGCCCAGCTTTGAACACCAGAACCAGCTCAATCACCCGGCTGAACAAGGCTTCCAGCAAGCCTCTGACCCGTCAGGGAAACATCCAGCTGGAATTCCGAGGGAAGGCACACGGTCATGCCACACAAAGGACGGATCTCAACTGGAAGCAATGGATGCACAGCCAGTGAAGTGCAATTAAGCACTTCTGGAAGATTGGGTTTATTAGCTCCCAGATGGCTTGTAACACACACAGAGCGAGCTCCCAGCTGCCTGCAGACCACGGTCCACCCAGGCTGAGCCACCCCTTCAGAGACATCAGTTCCATTCCATTTACCTTGCCTGTCAACCTTAAGAGTATTTAACTACTTACAGCTGACATTGTAGGAGACTTTACCATTAGTATTCTATGTTTCTGTTTTTCTTTCCACTTCCACACTCCAGCACATTACCCTTAAGCAGCACGTCAAAAAACCCAAATGAAACAACCCACAACCAAAACCCCAACCAAAACGAAACCACAAACCCCAAGCAGAAAACCAAACCCTGCACTGTTCTCACATTTCCATTCTCTATGGACACAAATGATGATCTGGGCTGTTTTCTGTTCTTAACCCAAGGCTCCCACACCCTACTTTAGGCTTTCTCTCAGTGCTGAGAGCTGGTGCTTACACAGCTGAGCATCTGCTTGTGCACAGGCTTTGCACCGACAAACCCCTGTCAAACCTCAGGTGCTTCGCCACAGGAACGTCACAGAGACACAAACCTGACCTTAAAAAAAACCTGCACGCAAGCAGCAAGTCCTCCCAAAAGGGCCAGGATTAGCACCCAGGGTTTGAGTCTTCAGCTGGAAACTTACCGCTGTCCCTCCTCCTCTTCATCCTCCTCCTCCTGCGCGTGCACGAGGTCTCTGAACGAGGTTACTCGATGGTCACTGCAAAGATCCAGCAAGAGGAACGTTGGGACACAGCCCAAACTAAAACATTCCCAGCTGAAAACACTCCACACCGAAACAGGCTCCTCCTGCAAGGTGGACTCTGGTCACCAACGCCCGACCCCAAAGCATTTTTCCTTCGAGACACAGCCAGCAACTCCTCTTTGAAACTGGGCAGCGTTCCCTGATTTCACAGGGATTTGGTGAGGCAAAACTCACTTTTGTTTTTGGTAAAACGTTTGACCTGATCAGCTCAGGCCTCACACAAAATCAGAGAATGTTCTTCCCGCACAGACACGTTCTGCTCCAATAAAAGTGTCACCAGCTGACTGTCTTCAACCCCAAAAGACAAATCAAGTTTTTCCTGAGCAACGAGCCAATTTTCCCTAACTGATCTCTGGCTCAGTTGTGCAATAACACCCGTGCTGCTGATGTGCAAACGCTCAGGCTTTCACAATGTCTAGAGAGCCAAACGAGGCGAAGCAAACCTAAACACAGCGCTACTCCCGAAAACTAACACACATCAGTGCTTATAGAGAGAGTTTCCAGGTTTCCAGGACAGAGCTGGAGCTCCCTCCTCACCTGGCTCCAGTGCCTCTGGATATGGAGCTGGGGGCGGGCTGGGGAAGGGTCAGGATGTCCTCATCGCCCCCGTCCTCGTAGAAACTGGCGAGGGCAATCTGCAAAGGGAAACCAGCAGAGCTCGTCAGGATGGGGGCAAACCCTCCGGAGGAACGGCAGAAACACACACAGAGAAAACATCCCAGCTGAACCCTCTGCCACGCTGGACCTCTCAGGGCACCTCTCACTAGAGACACTTCATGCCACTTCCCCCGTTACAGGCCCTGGCAAAGACAGGGCCTTGGCAGGCTGTGCTGTCTGGCTGTGTCACGGCAGGGCAGTCGCTGCTGCAGGGATGTCACCTTCCCTGCCAGGGAACGCCAGGGCCCTTCTCCTGCAGCGCTGGCACAAGGGCCGTGCCAAAACTCCCGCTCTGAAACAGCTGCTTTTGCGCCACCCACGAGCAGAGTTTAACGCAGCCGGACCCTCCGAGGAGCACAGGGGCAGCTCGGAGTGGTGGGGGGCTCCCCCTCGGTTTGGGGGCGCTCGGGTCAAAGCTGGCAGCACCGCCAGCACTCCCGGAGAACCCTCACAAAACCCGGCACACCCCGGACCTCACCGCGCGAGAGAAAACCAACGAGACAACCGGGACGGGCCTCGGCCCCAGCCAGGCCACGGTCCCTTCGCAAGGGCGGGGGCGAGGCCCGAGCCCGCGGGACACCGAGCTGCGGCCCAGCGCTGCCCCGCAGCGGGCGGGCGGAGGGCGGCGGCGGAGCTACCTGGAGGTCCCAGCCCGCGGACTCGAGGAAGAACCGCGCCCGCTCCTCCTCGGCGCCGGTCACGGCCACGAACTCCCTCAGCGCCTCCTCCCTGTCCGCCATCTTGCCGCGGTGCAGCGCCCAAACCCCGCCGGGCCGCCCCGCGCCGCCCTCCGCGTGCGCCGCCGAACCCGCCCCCCCCGGAAACACCCGCGGCGCCGCGCGGGGCCCGGCCCGCCCACAGCGGCCCCTGGCGGCCGGGAGGAGCCGGTGCGCCGGGAACCGGGAACAGGGAACCGGGAACAGGGATGGGCAGCACTGAGCACCGGGAACAGGGCACTGAGAACTGGGCACTGATGTCAGAAATACCTCAAATTAAAATTTCGAAGACGGCCAAATAAAGTGAAACAAAGAGCTTTATTCTCTGCGCGCGCTGGGTGCGGTCAGGTCTGCCTCGTGCCGGGGCCTGAGAGCACACCTGGGATGGGGGGGCAGTTCTTTTTAAGGTCTCTCGGTCTGCATAACTGCTCCCTTGTTCCTCCCATGCTCAGCTCTGCTCCCTTTCTTCCTTAAAAGGCAATATAGTCTCTTTCTTGAGTCCGATTGGGTCTCTCAGGGCGGGCTCACACTTTTCCAGCCCACTGGTTGTTTTAACCAACCTATCAGATTGTTTCCCTGTCCGGGCCGCATGGTCCCTTGGCAATGAGCCCTGGCTGGTCTCATTGTCTTACAGGCTTCCCGGTTCGCCTTTATACAGCAATAGTAAGCAACAGTAACATGATCACAACTATTAACAGGTCGTGGCTGCAACAGAACTGCAGCCACAGGCAACTGCAGAACACCCCTGATCATAAAAACTCCTCATCGTGAGGCAATCATGGAAACCCTGCTTGTAATAAAACCGTTTCATTTATTTCTTACACTGAGCCCTGGGAATCAAGCACCAGGCCCTGGGAACTGGGCACTGAGCTCCAGGAACTGGGCACTGGGAATCAAGCACTGGGAACTGGGTGCAGGGGACCAGGATGGGCAGCGCTGAGCACAGGGCACCGGGCACTGAGCACTGGGCATGGGGTTGGGCAGCACTTGGGCACAGGGCTTTGGGTACCAGGCTCTGGGATGGGCAGCACCGAGCCCTGGAGGAGGGCAGGTGGACGGGCCGCAGGCAGGGCCGGGGGGCCCAGGACTGACGGCAGAGAGCAACCCAGGGCAGCCTCTGCATCCTGGTGCCTCTATTTCCAGGTTCACACGACACGGCTGGTGGTGGCCGAGCCCTGGGACCCGCCTTGAGGAACTGAGGACTGACACGGAGCAGGACAGGGCAGCGTCCCCAGAGCTTCCCTCTTTGTGCGCTTGAAGAGAAAGAGGAGGAGCCCACCGAGGATTCCCTTCTCCAGCAGCATGCCAAGCCACAGGATGAGGAGGCTGGACGAAAGGTTCACACCTGCAGTGGGGAAAGAGGGTGTGAGCAACCAGATCCCAAAGACAGGCATTCCATCCCTCTACAAGGAGCCTTTTCTGGGACTTTGAGCTTTCTCAGGGGGTTACACCATACAGCCACCCCAGCAGGCACCCCACCCAGCTCTGACGCACCACTGTATATCTGGGACCCCTTGTTCTGACCCTGCTGGTCCGGGCTGGCGATCCACAGGATGGCTGACTGGTTGACAGGGGCCTGAGCGTCGTGGACCACCAGGCAGGTGAACATGGACCCATTCTTCTCCTCTGTCGCTTGCACCTCCAGCTGGCTCCTCAGCTCCAACAAGCCCTGGCGGAACACCGGTGGCCGGTAGTTCTTCTCCTTCTTTATCTTCACCCCGTTCTCCAGCCAGGAAACAGCCACAGTTTCTGGGTAAAACCCCTTCACGTGGCAGGTGAATTTCATGGTCTTGTTCACCTCAATGGGGCTCGTCTGGTTAGTGCTCACATCGACACTGGGGGAAACTGGGAAGAGAGGCAGCGCCTGCTGTCTGACGTCCCTGGCTCTGCTGCCCTCAGGGTGTCCTGTCCCCACCCCATGGCCCACTGTACCCACTCCAGGAGCCCCAGCCCCACAGGAGCAGGACACCCCAGCACAAATGCCCCAGCCCTCACCTCTCAGGACTCTACTGAGCTGGTACATCCCCTTCAGCGAGCTCGATGACGCCAAGTGCTGCACCTCACAGATGAGCTGTGAGAGGACGTCACCCTCCTCTAGGACCACTGTCACACTGCTGGACATGTTGTAGGATTTCTCCCGCCATTCAGTGACCTGGGGCAGCTGAGATGAGATGGAGGTCTTGTCCTTGAACCATTTCACACTAATGTTTTCAGGAAAGAACCCTCCAGCCGTGCAGTTGAAAGCCACTGATTGCCTCGGCCCCGCTCTCTGGCTGGGCCCGGACACGATCGGGGGGGAGGGCTTGGCTGTGGGGAGAAGCACAGGGCTGTCAACCTCTGTCCCCCTGCCCAGCCCCGGGTTTGCAAGGAGCAGGGTCTCTACAGGGCATGGGGATAGCCCACAGCATCCTCTCCTGGGACCAGTTCCCAAAGCCCCTTCCCCATCCCTGCTCACCCTGAGCAGAGCCCACTGGGCTGGGCTGGTTCCCCCCAGGAGCTGCTCTGGGAGCCCCACTCACCGAGCACAGACACCTCTGTGCCACTTCCACGCCGAAACATCTCATTCTCACCGCTCAGGGACTTGCGGAACTTCACGCAGTAATAGGTGCCGACATCCTCGGGCTGAGCATCCCTGATGTGGATGGTGAAGTCTGTGTCGGACTCTTTCACTGCTCTCGTCACACGGGTGGAAGCAAAGTCTGTGTCCCCATAGATGGTCCTGTTCTCAGTGCCCCAGCCCTTCAGCCACTTCATAGGACCAGGAACACTGGATCCAGACACGGTGCAGTTCAGGGTGAGCATCTCCCCCACTTTCACCGACACCTTGTCCTGGGGCTGGTGTAGTTTGTAGTCCTGAACCCCCTGGGCACCGGCACCTGGGCACAGCAGCAGGAGAGTTTGGTGTTGACAAGGGGCCCCAGAGCCAGGGCACAGCACGAGGCATCGCCAGACACTGGCACCGAGCCAGGAGCAGGAGAGGTGTTCCTGTCCCTTGTCCCCCAACACTGCTGGGGAGTGAGGGAGGGGGAGAGCCTGGAGCTCCTGGGATTGAGCTGGAGTTAACCAAACGCTTTGTCCAGGGACAAAAGCAATCTGGATGGGAGGCAGCAAGAGGAGAGCCCTGGCTATCCCCAGACAGAGGGAAGGACTGCCCAGCCAGCAGCGTGGGGAAGCATGCGTGGGAAAAGCTCGGGGGCTGTGGGGGCCCCACTTACCCGGGGCTCTGCAGAGCAGGAGCAGCATCAGGCAGGTGAGAGGCAGAACCTCTGTCCCTGGACCCATGGATATTCCCATGTCTCACTCCCTGATGTCTGGGCTTCTCTCAGCTCAGCTTGGCTAGGCTCAACCTGACACGGCTTAGCTGGACTGGGCTCAGCTCGGCAGGGTTCTGCACTCAACCAGCAAAAGGGAAGGAAAGGGGCCAACACTGGCCCAGTTCCTCTATGCAGTGATGTCCCAGTTGTTCCCCAGTGTTCTCGTCACAAGGCTGGTCCGAAATGCTGATGTCCATCCCACTTTCCCCTCAGATATGTGCCAAAGCCACAGCCCAGGCCATGGCCACGGGCACTGGGCAGCCAGCAAGAGGGGCCTGATGCCTCACACTCTTCCACACGTGGCCCCCGGGGCTGAGCACCCCGGGGCATCGGAGGGACACCTATCCTTCGCCAGCAGGATCGGGGGGAGGGCTGGTGTCTCCCGTGGGTCGGTGGTGCAGAGCTGGGCCAGGGGCCCCCGGTGCTCCGGCCCCACACCGAACCGGGGAGGACGCTGAGCCGCTCCCCACCCAGAGCCCAGTGCAGCCCCTCGGGGCCGGGCGGCCCGGGGGTGATGCCCATCAGGGGTGAGACCCGACAGGTCTGATGCCCGGCGCGGGTGATGCGCGGCTCTGCCGCGACCCGCCCGACCCGGGCAGGCACCAAAGCGTTAACCACCCGCTCGCCTCCGTTTCCTGTCCCGCTTCTCCTTTTCCTTCCCAAAGTTTGGGCAGAGCTCATGGCCGCGGCGGCAGCTCCGCTCCTGTTCGGGCAGCTCTCGGGTGAGTCGGGAGTGGAGCCCTCGGAGCCCCCCGCTCCCCTGCCCCGTCCCACACCGGTCATTAACGCGAGCGGGAGCCAAAGAGAAGCACCGGGCTTATCTTGGGAGTTTCTTTCCGTGACCACCTTTTGGTGGCTGCAGAGCCCTGCTCTGCACAGCCGAGTCGAGCCCTGCAGAGCCGGTGCCGAGCAGACCGGGGGATTTGGGCAGGAGCGGTTTGGGGGCAGGAGGAGTTTGGGAATGGAGGGGCTTGGGGGAGAGGAGAGGTTTGGAGACTGGAAGGGTTTGGGGGGGCAGGAGGGATTTAGGGACAAGGAGTTTGGGAGCTGTGCTGGACTCTGGGCTGCACATCCCTGTCCAGAGCCAGCTCCTGGCTGGCTCCTGGCTGCGAACCCCAATTCTTTGTGGAGCCCCAGTGATCCTAACTCGTGTGGAACAGAGCCAGGGCATTAATGTTTAACAGCACTCTGGAGTTTTTCCTGGCAGGAATTCCCCTTAGCTCCCTCTGTACCTCTCTGGCTTCCAGTGCCTGCAGTACCTCCTGCAAATGGCACAACAGGGTGCAGATTTATCAGATCATAGAATCACAGAACCATTTTGCTTGGAAAAGATCTTAGAATCCTCAAGTCCGACCATTCCCCCAGCACTGCCAAGGCCGTCACTAAACCATGTCCCCAGGTGCCATATTTACATGTCATTTAAATCCCTCCAGGGATGGTGACCCCACCACTGCCCTGGGCAGCCTGCTCATTTTTCAGCAGCCCTTGTTCATTTTGAACCCAGCTTCCCCTCTCCCAGTGCCTGCACTTTGTCTCTACCACATCCCAGGATATCTCTCAGCTGCACTGGGGAAGCTCAGGCTGCTCTGCCTGTGGGTCAGCCCTCGCCTCACCCTGTCACTCACCCCCGAACCCTCCTGTTGCTGTGCCCAGGTGCCGGTGCCCAGGGCGGTCAGGACTTCAAACTGCACCAGCCCCGGGACAAGGTGTCGGTGACAGTGGGGAAAACACTCACCCTGGGCTGCACCGTGTCTGGATCCAGTGAGCCTGGTCCTGTGAAGTGGCTGAAGGGCTGGGGCACTGAGAACAGGACCATCTATGAGGACACAGGCTCTGCTCCCCCCCGTGTGACGAGAGCAGTGAAAGGCTCCGACACAGACTTCACCATCCACATCAGGGATGTTCAGCCCGAGGATGCCGGCACCTATTACTGCGTGAAGTTCCGCAAGTCCCTGAGCGGTGGGAATGAGGTGTTTCAGCGTGGAAGCGGCACAGAGGTGTCTGTGCTCGGTGAGTGCAGCCCAGCAGGATGCTGCTCCCAGGGGCCCCATCCCACAGCCCCCACCCTGCCTGCGGCCAGGCCCCGCACTGCCCTGCACCCACCACCCTCTCCCGCTCTGCCTCCGTCTCCACAGAGGCAGCCGTGGTTCCCGGCATGGTGGCTGCAGTTGTGGTGCTCTGCGTCCTCCTCCTCCTCGTCCTCCTCGTCGCCCTTTGCCTGTACAGGAGGAAGTGCCGAGGCAGGGTGGGCAGCCCGTGCCCAGCGGGGCCGGCAGGCGTGGGCAGCTTCCCCCCTGCCCCGCTGCAGTGCTGTGCAGGGACCCCCAGCACCTGCAGGTTTGTACCCACCACCTCTTCCCTCTGCACCCTGAGCTCAGCGAACTGCCTTATCCACCTGCTGTATGCTGGTTTCTTTTCCTCTCTGGAGCAGTAATTTGCCCCAGAAAATGTCCTTCACTGCGCTGTGTTGCTCCTCTCTGTGTTTCACAGGAGCGCCTGGTGGGGGGCACCCGGCACCAGGGAGCTCCCCACAGCCCCTCGCTGCAGTGCCTGAGCCCAGCCCAGGAGCACAGACAGCACACTGCCCCTCTCTGCCTTCAGCATGTTCATCCTGATGAAATTCGGGAGGGGAATTGAGGAGGACTGTGCTGGGTGGGAGGGGATGCAGATTCCTTTAGTTCTAATGGTTGTCCTTCCCTCTGCAGCGAAGTTCTGGATGCAGAGAGCCCACACCTGCCCAGCCAGGTAAGAGCGAGCTGTGAACAGGGGGGAGCACATCTCATGCCGATGCCCTGGCTTGCAGGAACTCTACAAGGCTCTGGGGCCAGGGTGGGCATCGGGTGGGCAGCAGCTGCCTGCCTGTGGTCCCAGTGCAGTCTGCACCACATCTGCACCACGGGGCCACCTCTGCAGCCGTACCACCGCCAACCTGGCTCGAACCTGGTTCTTGGTGTTGCCCCATGCAAGGCCTGGAGTCGGACTGGATGATCCTTGTGGGTCCCTTCCAACCCAGGGGATATCCCACGATTCTGTGAAATGGGGCTAGGGTTATTTTTGCGAGATTTTTCCCCGTGGCGTCGTCCCCCATTTGTGCGTGCGCTTCTGCAGCAGAGCAGCAAGGAGGAGAGCGACATCCACTACGCCGACCTGCAGGTGCTGCCCACGGCCCCGCGGCGCGGCAGGAGCGCGGGCACAGCCTGCACGGAGTACGCCAGCCTCAGGGTAGCTGCCGAGTGACGCGCGGCACCGCGGCCCGCGCGGCCCAGCCGTGCCGGGGAGGAAGCAGGGACGTTTCTGCAGGGCACAGTAAAGAAGAAGTGGAGCTGTTTGCACTGCGAGTGGTCTCAGCTCAGCACACCATCCTCAGAGCCGAGCTCCTCCTCTTTGTTCCCGTCTCAGGGCTGGACCTACTGTGCCAGCTCTCCCAGGACCCAGCAGCCATCTCAGACCACGAGGCCAAGCACCTCTGCCTTGTGAGGGCTGTTTGGTGCTGATGACACCGGGAGGGCCTCATGCTTGCCTGTGCCCACCAGCACAGGCCTCCACTGGCCCTTTCCTGGCTGGCAGGTCCATAATTTCTGTTGTCTTGTCACCACCCTCATTAAAGCCATCAAACAACCCTGCTGTCCAGTTTTACTGTGCTCAGGACAAGAGCAATACTGCCAGTCCTGCAGGATCCAAGGGGCAATGTGTGCCCCCCACATCCCTCGTGCTGCTGCTGGGCTGATGCTGAGCCCCCCGGGCAGCTCCCACCTCCCACCTGCCCCAGGCAGCTCCCCCAGCCAGGGCACCTGCTCCAGGCACATCTGCTCCTTGCACACTCCCTGCCCCATGCACAGCTGCCCCAGGCACATTCCCTGCTCCGTGCCCGTGTGCTCAGTGCCCACCCCCCGGGGAAGGAGTCCAGAGGCAGGGAGCCAGAGGGCAGAGGTGGCAACGGCAGGAATGTGCGGAGCTCACTCCGTGCTGGGCACCCAGCACACCCTGTCACACCACACTCACCCACCCACCCCTGCCAGCTGAGCTCCCCCCACACCACATGAGGCCCCCAGCAACCCCCTTGGCAGGAGGGGCTGAGGCCAAAACGGGCTTTCCAGGCAAAGGGACCTGCTGCCACTGCCACCTGTGACCTTGGAAGCTGCTGCAGTCTCCAGTTTTCAGCTTTATCTACTTTTTCCTGTGAAATCAGAAAAGAGAAGTGAAACAAGACAGCGCAGCCCCGGGGAGTGAGGCTGGCAGGGAGATCCTCCTGAGGACAGAATTGTCACAGGGGGGAGAAGAGCTACAACGGAAATTTATTTGCATGACTGAATATGAGTCCCCTCCTCTGGGGACGTGTCCTGGGGACAGTTTGGGGTCAGTTCTTTCTCAGAGCCAGCTCAGGCACACTCAGCACCCTGTGGGCATGGTGATGGAGGGGGGGAGTTTGCCAGGGCAGGTGTCCAGTGCCTGTCCTCAGCCTGGCCCCCTCAGCACGGGGCTGTGGGGTGGGAGTGCCAGACTGAAGCCTCCCCTGTGCTGGATCCTGAGTGGAGCCATGACAATGCCACGGATCATTTCCCAGCCGAGGCAGCGGCTGCTCTGAGCAGGACAAGGGTTGCCCGGGCTCTGCACGGGGACGACACCCAAACTGGCGGAAATCTCACATCAAGGCTGTGAACAGGAATATGTAAAATATGTGGGTGAGAACGAAACCGGGGATAGACCTCGAGGACCAGGGGAAATGAAATTCAAGGGGATTTAGAGCTTTTTAAGCACTGGGCTGGATCAGGAGTGGGGAAATCCAGTTTGATAGGAGCATATGCAAAGCAGGGAGCGAGCAGAGCACGGTGGAGCGCTCTGCACCTAGGAAAGGGCCCAGGTCTGCAGCTTACTGCCCAGGGGAGGGATTTGGTGGTTATTAAAGGAAAATCCTTTAAGCCACCAGCCCGGGGTGTGCCGGCAGTGAAAGCACAAACAAGCGCCCGAGCACGGACACAAGGTAGGAGCGTGCTGGGGAG